CACGCGCCCAATCACCGACGTTCCTTCTCCATGTTCATGTCTTTTTGTGATATCCAATTTCACATCCAACATAACTGCCACAAGTGATCTCTTAGCAACATTGCTGGGAGTTTCAGTAGCTGGTCGCTTAGGCATTGTGAGATCACACAAAACACAACTGCAAGATAACACAAAACACACGCCAGCACGTGTGAGACTGAGGAGAGCGGGAGCATATGGCGAAGGAATATGTACACACGCTGTCCTATGCTACAGTTCAGGCGAACGGTTCAAAAATTTTTGCTCCTAAGAATTTGCGAATAAACGGGGCAACCATTGCAAATAGTGGAAATGGGTAGCAATAAATTGATTGCGGATAAACAGGGTTACGAATACCGAGGCTATGAATAACGGGGTTTGCCTACAGTGTAATTTCTTTATGGGGTATTTTAGCACCACCGCCTTCACTTGCATCAGATGGCCTCTTTCCACTCATCTTGAATAAGGGTAATACACTGGACAGTCTTAAATAAGATACGTACAGTATATAATACGATACGAACATACTGTAAGTGTTAAATTCCAGAGCTGGGAGATATAAGCAAACTCAGTCCAAAGGTGTTGATGCCATGTACCCACGATTGGTGGTGGCGAACACCAAGAAACCCACACCAAATATCTTCTTTTTTTTTGTTTTTATACAGTACAATATAAAAAATTTTGTATTGAAAATTTTGAAAATTTACTCCATTCCCATAAGGTCGAATTTATGGGCCGTATCCCAAATTTAGTGGTCGTAATTTAAAAATTCTGTATGGGTGAATTTTCGCAACCCGAGTTTCCATAACATGGGGGACACCTGTATAATACAATTATATTACTTACCTCAGTGTTAGCTCTCCTTGATCTGACTCTTGAGCACGGATCTGTACGCATCATCGTGCTCTTGTCTTCCTCCACATCTTGGTTAGCTTTTTGTTTCTTCTGATGGCTTGGGTTTAAAATTATTCAAATGAAAGTTAAATATTCTTTCAAGAATTAATTCCACTAACTGAATAAATTTCAAGACATAATAGTTCTTAAATATCAACTAAAGTACTTTGTATCCCCCATGCTTAAAATGTGTTGTAAGGGCTCCCCAAATGCCCACAACCAGATTCAGGAGGCAAGCATAAACTGAAAGCTAGCCACTTCACTACATTATTCAAAATAACCATAATATTAGGTTACAAGAGAAAAAATCTACAACTACTGATCGAGGCTTAATCAGTGACGACTAATGAACACTAATGCAAGTGTTCTAAAACTTAAATTATTTAAGCTAAGCAATGAATAGTATAAGTGTATCAAGTGGATGATAAGCCCAAGATTTTAATTTTCACTGTGAAACTAGAAACATTAAAATAAATGATGCAAATAACCACAGTTCATATCTGTACCCGCATATTCTTATTTTCCTATTTCCTTAATAAAAAAACCAAAATTTAAAACCACATAATGGCTAATAACGTACAGAATTTTTTTTTAATAATTTCCTTATTTTTATGGTAGGAAACAAGATTTAAGGAAATGTCAATCCAATTTGGACTTTCCTCTTACCTTGGCCTTCATTTGAAACACTTCATAATCAATCAAGCCCCTTAATTTGTACCACTCTAATTCGAAATTGTTCATAATTCATGTTTTGTGGTTATAAATTATTTATAAAAAAATTTGTAATGCAGTATTCGGTAAAATTTTGAAATACGACACTTAAATATTACGATACAATACAGTGGTCCCTCGGTGAACAAACATAATTCGTTCCAGAGGGCCGTTTGTTAACCAAAAATTTTGTAAACAGAATCCATTGTTTCAATGGGATATTGGGTAAATGGTTCCAACTCACCGAAAAGTACATACATAGTAAAAAAAAAAAAAAACATTAAAGTACACTTACTTTGAGGCGTGTATGTAGAAGGTTCCTGGTTGTTGATGATTAGAAGTGGGGGTGGAGGAGAAAGGAGAAGAGAAGGAAGTGGGGATGGAGGAGAAATCACCTTTCAGGGGACCCATGCTTAATGCAGTCATTTCACCCATAAAATTTTAAGTTCACTAGGTGTAAGTCAAGATTATTTTATTTACTTTTTTTATCCTCTTCGCCACTGATCGGCTTGTTAGCCGCTTGGGCGATCGGTCACGTCTCTTTTCATTCATATTCTTCACCAAAAGATCGGCTCGCTAGCCGCCCGGGCGATCGGTCACGTCTCTGTCACGCACGCATTGCACTGCACTATATATTGTCAATAGGTTAACTAAATTTCAGAATGACCAATAATTTCAATGAAAAATGCAAAATATTCAAGGCACCAACAAAACAGATGTTCACTCCACTGTCAACAGAGCCCAACTGACGCCTGTTGGCCGAGTCAAGCGTCTGATGGGTGCACAAAAAACTAGTTCCCTGTACTGCATATATTATCAATATGTTAACTAAATTTTAAAATGACTAATAATTTTAATAAAAAAATGCAAATATATTAAAGCACAACTTTCTTGATATTTAATCACTGGAAACAAATGTAAACATAAAACAGATTACAGAATTGGCAGACTAGCCTATCAGCTGATCCCCACACAAAACGTGATGTTCGTAAGGATTTCGTTAATCGAAGTTTTGTTCATTAACCGAATTGAAGATCCTTATGGGAAGTAATTCGTTAACCGAAATTTCGTTAATCGAACCGTTCGTTAACCGAGGGACCACAGTATACAGTACTATATTAAAATTTTCATAATTGGTAAAACTTCAAATTCTGAGACATTTGTGAATATACTGTACATTATTTGATGCACAGGTCACCAAGAGATGCAAACTGTGCAGTCTAAATTGGACATCTATTTTAAGAAGTTCCCCCATTGCTATCTCCTCACGCCCCACCAGTGCTGCCTCTTTACTCCCTAAAGATAATCCAATACCTACAACTAGCAAGTTTCCCCTGTACATAAATCTGTCTGAAGAAAGTGACATTGATGACCCACCCAGCCCTGTCTCCTCCTCTGCTTCATCCATTAATATAGTCTCCATGTATACCTGTAAATAGAAAATTATGGGGGCCCCTTGTGCATTCAGCTGACTACATTAAAGGTAAGTGCAAAGTAACACTGTATCCATTCTTCACTACAGTATTGATTTCTTTTACTGTACTGTATTTCATTTTAAATTTTCTATATTATTTTTTGCATTTCCGACTTACGACCTGGATTTGGGTCCCTAACCCCGTCCTAAGTCGGGGAGTAGCTGTATATATTATTTTAAGAAAACTATGGCTACAGGAGGAAACTACATACAAACGTTTTTTCCTAAATACTCCCTGCTAAAATGGGGGATGCATCTTACATGCCATAAAATATGATACTGTATTTTTGGTGTCTGTATAATTATTTATTTTTTATTTTTTATTTGTATTTTTTTTTTCATTTAGTACATTTGCTGGAAGATACAGACAATCAGCATTTTCAGACAGGTGGTCCTCCATTTTAGTCCTTAATAATTACATATACCTGTACTTGGGGTTTATTTTATATTATTATAATGATGAAACAACAAATTTAAGAATCAATGTTAAATGGGCATTATGTTACATTCCGACTTGCAGAACCTGCCACTTTTTTTTTTAAACTGCCACTCAAATACTGTAGTAATCAAGGCTGTCATGATTATACCAATGTAATGACCACGATTGTACATGTTAATTAACATAAAATCAGACGATTCATACAACACTAAATAGCCCACAACATATGTAGCTATGCCTTCTTTATTGAGTCCCTAGTGCACTCCTCACAGTTATATGGGCCAAAGTATTATTGTTGTACATGTTTGGGAATAACTAGCAGAAATATACTGTAGTTGTCCCATGATGAGTAGTGAAACCCATAAATATTGATATTACCAGTAATAACGTTTGTTATGTGGGTTGAGTACAGTACATCATTCGCATGTACTACCAACTGAGTCCTACCTATTATTGTTGTACCTGATTGGGGATAACTAGCAGAAATATAGTTATTTCATGTTGAGTATTGACCCATAAATATTGATATTACCAGTAATAACACTTATGTGGGTTGTGAGTACATCATTTATACGTACTACCAACTGAGTTCTAGTAAAAGTGCCATGTTGTTCATTCCAAAATAACATGTTATAAATAATATGTTAATTTGGGATAGTGTCAAGTGTGTCATAACCATCTATATTGACAATGAAATAATATAACGAGTGTTTAATGTTGTAACCAAGAATTGAAGATCTATTTTGCTACTTATAAAAGTAAGACCTAAGGGTCCAGTCCTATCTGAGCGTGTAAAATAATCATCTTATTTGTCAAAGAAATAATATAACAGTTGTTTAATGATGGAATAAGTAATTGAAGATCTATTTTATGAATTGTAAGGTAAGACCTAAGTGGTCCAGTATTGTCTGAGTGTATTTAATTAACATCTTGATCACTCCTTATTTGGTTCTCAGAAAATAACTACTGTACAGTATTGTAATTCACGTGCCTATGAGCTCGAGTCTATCACGCTACCTCACAGTTAAATGAGGCGTGTTATATTTTAATAATAGTCTGGGTGGTGGCAGGCTACCGTTGTAAGTATAAAAAGTGTTATGGAAGAATGACATGGTTTTCCCAGACTAATCCATGGTATAGAATATAACTAAGGCACGATAATAAATTGAGAGAAAGAAAAGATATTAAATCTAGAAAATACAATAGTATATATGACAGACAAAATAAAGTATTGAAAAATATTAAATTAGAAAATATAAGATGGATACTTAGACAGAAAGACTTTGAAAATAAAATTATTAATATATACATACACAAGAAAAGATAACTAGAAAAACCTGTCTTAAACAGCTATTAATAAATATAGAAAAAAGATCTAACAACAATAAGAAGGAAAGAAAAAATTACTACAACCAAACTTGTCCCCTCCCCCTTACACCAAAACATCTAATTTTAGATCTCCATTTACCTCTCAGGGTCAGGAACTGATGATGCTGACGTACCCGCACCAGCGCACTCTGACTGCTGCCTTGAATTCTGCACATGACCCTTGTGTAAAAAGGATTCAACCTTGTCTGAGGCATGAATCAATTTAAATTCACTTTCCCAAGAGGGTTGCTTAAATCCTACCCATTTCACAAAATATGACGTACAAGTCTGTAATAAGAAATATGATACATCAAATAAATATCAGTAAAAAGAAAGAAAATTTTAGATTATAAAAGGACAAAATCTAAACTTTATATAAAAAGATTTACGCCTGTATTATTAAACAACATCTTCCCTTGAAGAGGGTTGTCTTGTTTCAACCCGAGTTTTAAACTACAGTACACGATTCCTGAAGGTCACCACTGTACAGTACTTAACGGGGGTGGTGCGGTGGTAAAATTAACTAATTCCAATATTATAAAATAATTTTCCAGCCACACCACCCTATTAAGTACTGTACTGCGGTGTCCCTCAGGATTCATTTAGTTAAAAATTCGGGTTGGAACACGACAACCCTCTTCAAGGGAAGATGATGTTTAATTATACGGGCTTAGGTCTCCTTCACCTTCACCCTGGGCCTCTGAAGGACAGATCACCATATGGTAAGAAGGTGCCATTTAATGGGAGAAAATCAGCCCCAAAATTTTTCAGTATTTTAAATGTGTATATCTTGAGTAGTTATGTAGTCGTGACCGTGAAGAAGATCCTTTGCAATTTTATTTGTGGATCACCTCAAGATTTGACCCCCCCCCCATTTAACCAACCTGAAACTTTCTGGGGCAACTCTTCAGGTCATTAATAAAGGATAAAATTGTGAATGATCTTGTTTGTGGTCTCAAATACATCACTGAACTAGAGTTTTAGATGTACAATGTATGGGACTATTTATCCAGCACTGTATATATATCCAGACTGTATATCTGGCATCATGGTACAGGAAAGCCTCCGATAACGACGATTTATATTTGAGACCCTGGTTAATTTAGGACCCAATTCAATTTACACCGTTAATTTCTTCATATTTATGACAAAACTAGAATAAAAAATAAAGTACAATTACATTTTCATATAAAAACTAAATCCCAATATGTATTATACAAATAAAAAAAGAACACGCCTTGTGTGCGGAGGCTGCTGAGCTTGTGAGTGGTGACACCAGCATCACTAGTATAAGCAGTCGCAGCTTGGCGGGCCTTTTGTTTTCACTCATCCGAAAAGGAAAAGGAGAAAAACTTCCTCTGGTTTCGTATGGCATTTCTGCAGCCTTATTCAACATGAGCAAGACAGCAAAGTGATGGTAGTGCTGGTTCAAAAGCTAAAAGAGAGTGAATAAGCTTAGCCGAGACACTAGATGTGTTAAAACTATATGAAAAAGACGAGAGGGTCAGTGGATATTACATGGAGCAAGCAACGAGCAAATTTTCTAAAGTGGGTCCATTAACAGAACGGAGCATTAAAATTAACAGGGACATGAAAAATGCATATGACCTCTACATAAAGATGTATAATGAGAAAAGAAAGCGGCTGTGCAAGGTTCTCTCGACAGCTTAATTAATCGAAGGCCTAAACCACCAACTTCAGGTACAGCTACACCATCAACTTCAGGTACAGCTACACCATCAAATTCAGCATCAGCAGCAGCTTCAACAACAACTACAGGTTCAGTAACAGTTCCAGCAACGGCTATGACATCTTTATGGAAAGCTACAGCTTCAGCCAGAGTTGAACCTGATGACTTCGTCATTTCAGTAAAAACTAGCACAACAACATTCATTGGCTGTCCTTAGGTTTTGACTTTACCACTATTGGTGAGTAGAATTTTATTTTTACATTTGTAAGTATTATTTAACATATATATGATCAGTAATAAGTGTTGCTTTCATATTTTTATGTAGAGAAATGCCGATACGTTTTCACATATACGCACTTACATACATTGTCGTTGAGCAATCCATCTTTTTTCTTTTTCTTTTTTACTTGGATTAACCCACCTGGGCACAGGTCACTGACCCACATCGAGGCCTGGGGGCAAAAATGTAATAGTAATACAATAATAAAAATAATAATTAATAGTACATAGAATTTATAATAAAATACAAAATTAAAAATAAAATAATAATGATAATAATAACAACACTAATACTGTAATAATAATAATAATAATAAAGAACTATAAAGAAATACAAAAATTTAAAAAAAATCATTAGTGAGAAACGAGTTAAGTATGTTACTTTTACTTTTATCCTCTTCACCACTGAACGGATCATTAGCTGCTTGGGCGATCGGTTACGTTCTGTTACGCACTGTTGGCAAGTACTGGACATGCACTGGCTCCTGAAGTACAAGCCAGGCAATTGCAGGCGCTGTAATCTCTCAGGGTAGTTGAGGTGCCGAAGTGCAGGCACCAGTCTGGTGGCCCTCCTTTGGACATTTTCAATCAACTGACAGTCCCGAGTATATCTCGGGGACGAGATGGGGTAACAGTATTTCAGGCGGGGGAAGCACCTCGCGTTTGAAGATTGTTACGAGGGACAGACCGTCTAGATATCTGAACGACCTTATTATAAGGCACAATAATTTAGTTGCTTGGTTCACCTTCTCACAATGGTTCAACAATTTCAGTTCATTGCCAAAATTAAACCACTACCATTATTAACAGCATAATTATATAATGTATACTGTAATATGAATCCTAAAATAATCACATCATTAATTAACATACATTGCCTTTAATCTTAGTCGTTTTCTTCTTTAAAATATTTTCAATTTCTTCACTGAGTATGTTTACTTTACGGAGATTTGATTTGACGACCCTCTTTCCTGTTTGATGACACATAGCAGTATACTGCAAAAGAACAAGAGTTTGATGTACTGTCATAAAATTTATCTAGGTTCCACATAAAAGGAAGGTAAAGCGTGTACGTTCCCTCCTCTGAAATATGGCAAGAGCATTAGAAATAGAACAGACAAGTAATCTTAATATGAGTTGGTTCTAAGCACTGGTTAAAGATGATCAGATTATTCTCCATGAAACACAAGTCAACCACTAAATAAGTACTGTACAGTACTATAAAATTATCGCCCTTAACGGGAGACTAAGATCTACTTTCCATTACCTTTATACATGCTAAGGTTGATCTGCAAACTTTGTTTGGTATAGTGTTCAAATCAACCCACCCTCCCTAACATACATGTGCATGAAACACAAGTAACTACAGTCTAGTCAGTTTTTTAAGCTAACGGAATTTTATAAAAAGAAAGACCGCTGACCTGACTAACTCTTCTTCTAGTAAATCCTTCTGGTCCTTAACCAAAAATATCTTTGATAACTTGTGCACTCCCTATTTGACTCCTCTTCTGATCTGATAACTCTATGGCCAACTCTCCTTATTCTCCACCTTAGACAATTCCAACTCTATCCCTCCTCCTACTGAACCTACTTAACTATAATCTCCACTCGTAGGGTTGCTGGTGTTATCCAATTTGGATGTGAGTAAGGCGCATGGACTGGACAGAATACCCCCTCGTGTACTGAGGGAATGTGCTAAAATTCTGGCCCTTGTGCTTGTTTGCCTCTTTTGCCTTTGCCTCAAAACCCAAACTTTTCCTAATTCTTGGAACCATGCCTCAGTTCAGTCCATCCCAAAGAAGGGTGACCATTCTAATCCCTCTATCGCACCATTGCCTTTACTTCATCCCTCTTCAAGATTTTTTAAACTATCTTAAACTCTCAATTTCTCCATCACCTTTGGTCAGTTCACCAGTAAAGCTTTCAGCAGACGAGAGCTACTGGTGATCTGCTCTCCTACTGCACCCATCTTTGGTCATCCTCTCTGGGATTATAGGGAACTTTCATCTCGGGTAGCTTCAGAAGTCAACGTAATAAAAAAAAATACATTACAGGATATATTCTTTACATGCATTATTTATGTTATTTGTTATTATTTTACAAGTAGAGATAGGTTATATTAATATCGTATTGTAAAATTATTTTAATTTCAAGTTACAAACAAAGTGACTATGAACAGGGTCCTGGAACATAACTGTCTAACTCAGGGACCCCCTGCACCATATATTATAACATTCCAGGGTTACTCATTATTATTGTACTATATACTGTACTATTTATGAAGAATGTGTATTCAACATATCAAGTGAAATACCTGTGTAACTATTTTTGGGTTTACACAGGAAGTGAATTTTAAGTTTATTAAATGTTTATGAAAATGTAACGCCATATTAACCAGAGGTAAAAATGCGAGGTCTATATAAACATAACCCTACTGTATCTTAAGCAGTCCAGACATGAGACCCACTGATGGGCTGTAGGGTCCCATGATCAGGTTCATAATAAAAAATATAAATTACCTCTTTCTGCAACTTGCGAAACTTGTCATTAAACCGATGTACAACATTTATGCTTTCATGAAGGAAATTGGCCCGAGGTTCCCAGGTATCATCAGCAGGGTTATAATTCTTCCATCGTACTCTGTAATACTCCACTTCGCGGCCTGTGTCCTGTAAGCACAAAAAGTATATTTTGCAGAGAAAATAAAGAATACAGCTGTCATTGTAATGACATAGGAAAAACTAAAAATATAATATCTATCCTTAGATTAACAAAAGCAGCTCCTGTGTTGTATTTCATTTCATAGTACAATCAGAGCAAGGAGATTTGTGTATTTACCCACTGAATCTACAGAGCACAACCCAGCTAACCCATGACCTAGATGATTGGCAGAATAATGAAAATTAACATATGTCTCAGAGAAGTCATTGAAACAAAATATTACCACAAAAGGCTTAGAGCTTAGTCCTACAGCATCTTGATAAGCCTTCCCTCACCCCTCTGACTAGAATGGATTTCCATTACCAAACCTTAAACCAACTAAACATTACGATAGAACCCAAGAATCAATTCCCAATTTATTATGGCCTGCCAACAGTCCAAGGACACTCCATTATCACTGTCATCAATGCTTTATAGCCATTTTCCATGTTCGTGTGGGCTGGCAACAATTACCTGATAGCAGCTCTCCATGGTTTCTTGCAGTCTCTCTTGTTAGGTCCTTAACTCTAATGTCCTTTCCTATAACTTCTCCCCCATGTCATTCTTGGCCTAAACCTAGCTCTCCTCCCCTCTACATTTAGGCTCGTGTACCTCTTAACCCAACTGGTTTCATTAATTCTCACCACATGCCCAAATTATCTCGACCTGCCTCTTGACAGAACTTCAGCAATACTGTACTACTCTCAATACCCAGCTAATAAGGCCTCCTGCCTTTCAGTGTCACATTATGTATCCACCTCATCTCATTTCAGTTTGCTCAAACCTGCTTGTCAACCTCTTAAACTGCCCATGTATCATTGCCATACAACATCACACGCTGCATACATTCTTCCTTTCACAGGGAGGGAAGGTCCTCTTGCTGTCAATAAAGGCAGCAGCTCCCTAAACTTCCTCCAGCCACTTTTGACTCTAACACTGAGCAGGCTTAAGCACAACCACTAGCACTGCAACATGTCACTCAGATAACAGAATTCATTGACAGTCGAAGGACATATCACCAATGTTGAGTTTCTCCAGCCTTGTGTGCGCACATGGTTACCTGCACATACAGAACACTTCATGTTAGCAGCATCTCACAGTCTGCCATCTACCCTATTACACCTCTTGTCTACTTACCTTCCACACTCATTGCACATTATGGAGTTGCTGGAGACACCTTTCTTACAGACAGTACAAGGTCAATTTCCATCATGGGTCTCTCACTCACTTGTATATTTAATGTTACTTAGGTAAAAGGAGGTGGAAACAAAATAAAACTTCTATGTTGCTGAGCAGCTGTACCTCAGAGGGTTGGTGGCTAAAAGTTATAAATCTCAGTCCCAAAACTTTCCAACACTGTTCCCTTATCCAAGCAGTATCCAGCAAAGGTTGTTGCCAGGACAAGGCACTTTGTTTTAAATTGTTGTCAGGTATTTTCTCTATAGAATGGTCATCTCTGCAAATTATAAGACTGTACTCTATGTGCAGCCCAATTTCAATAGGCTAATCACCTTACTGGGTAACTATTATTTTTAAAATGTTTAATCTGGATGCTCTACAACAGTACAGTAGGTCAAATTACTGGACATCTGCACAATCAGAATGCCAGTACAGCTCCTCCCCGACTTATGACGGGGTTAGGGAGCCAAATCCAGGTCGTTAGTCGAAAATGCTTATATAATACATAGAAAATCTAAAATGGGAGTCTCTTTTTCTTCTCAACACCACAAAACTCACTTTTAAGCTTGCCAGCCATTTTAAAGTGAATTACAAACAAAAATTTTCTCTGTGTACCGAGGTTGGGACTCAAAAATACGTAATTTGACAAAATTTTGGTACAACTGAGGCAGGTCGTAAGTGCGAGTGGTCGTAAGTTGAGTAGGTCGTAAGTCGGGGAGGAGCTATTCTAAATCAATTAAATTAACACCAAATTTACAATACTGGACTGAGAGTATGCAAGCTCAATGGTGAAGTCCAGTACAGGTAACAAGCGTTTCACGCGGGTTTGATTTAAGCGTTTTTGGAATAACACGATTGTTCAATTAATACCAAAAGCTAATTTATGCGCACCTATTTTTTAAATAACACTCAAGACATTTTAAATTTGCTGCGCGTATTTGCCTGGTCAGCCTGGCAGTGGAGTCGCGTGTGATGCCTGGTGAGGTGCTTGTAAGTTATTACTATTAAATATCGTTGTTAAAAAAATATTAATTAAAATAATGTAATAATAAAGATTGTCACTAATAATGATGAAGAAAATTAAGTATTCTGTACAACAACTGAGAGGACGTCCAGCAAGCTTCCCACGTATCGCTTTCTCGGTTCACACCAACACTACTTCTCTGTGCTCTCATTTGCATTGTTTGTTTATCACGTATCTTTTTAGTGTTAAACGCTGTTTTCCCCATTGAGCATGTCTGGAAAACATCCACCTGCCTCCTCTGGGGCGCCTAAAGCTAAAAAGGCACGAAAATCAATCGCAATGGATGTGAAATTAAATGTGATCACCCGCCTTCAGAGAGGAGAGCGTGTCGGAGGTTGGCCGTGTGCTTGGTTTAAGCGAGAGCATTGTTCGTACCCTGTGTGGTATATGATGGTTCCCCTAACCTGTACCAATTACATGTATTCTTATGGGAAAATTAAATTAATTTACGCATTTTTAAATTAAGCGCTGGTTTTCAAGAAAGTAACACCCGCGTAAAACGAGAGGTGGGCGTACTTTATTGTTCTAATCTCCATGGTTTCGGCTGGTAGATTGTTCCAGAAGTCTACCACCCTTTGCATGAAAAATACAGTACTTGCTTACATATGTTGTGCATAATACTGTGGTGAGTTTGAAGCTGTGTGGTGGTGAATGTTGGTGGTGATGTAAGGAGAAGGGGGGGGGGAATCCATTAGATTTGTATTATTTTTCTTTGTCTTTAACGGATTAATAAATATACATACATATGTGTAAGAGGAATATATATATATATTTTTTTTTTTTCTATGTCTTTTTTCTGTTATTATATACACAGTATAGTCTGGTTTTACGCGGTTAATTAAACCCATGGAGGTTTGCGTATAAAGCGAAACACGTAAATAAAATAACAGAACCTATGGGATTAATTGAAATAAAGACTGGGCCGACTGCCAAACTACCCATTTTTTGGGCTATCGCCGACACAATACTGTACATTGTAGTAAAAATAATATCTTAATTTTATGATGGTATGCACACACAATATATATGAGAAATATCAATAATATTAGGTTTTTTAACACTTACGTTAGTAGAAGAGATGGCTGGGCACACGGGGATGGGGGGCTGGTTCCGAGGCAGAGGGTAGATTATTGGCCCTCACCTGTCTCTCTATCCACCACAGAGGCTAGCAGGGCCTCCTCGTCAAACCCCTCAAAGTCCACATCCTCACTATCACTGACTTGGGCTGGCTGTGGTGGTTGGCGGGTGAAGAATTCGGTGATGTTTTGTTGACGGCTAGCATTGATGTGGTCGCGATACAGCCGAACATAGAGCTCCAGGGATTGCAACAGAAGGTTATTAGACACTTTGAAGAGATGATTGACTGGGTCTTTGGCAAGGATGAGCTTCATTTTCTCAGCTAACTCGATGACCTCCTTCACATCAGCATGTGTTAGTTTCTGCTCTTGTTGTTCTGTTCCACCTCACTGTTCACTGAAGTCATCATCTTCCAACATCTCGTTCATATTGTCTGGTCAGATCCACCTGTCTCGTGCCTTTTTCTAACTCGTGGACGATCTTGTACTTTACCTCATAGCTTAAGGCACATCGCACCTTCTTGGGCTTGGGGCAGCTTGGGTTAGGTAGTTCAGGGCTTCTCAGGGGTGGTCCACTGGCTAACTGCACGTAAGGCGTGGATGTTCACTGGTCTGTCCCTCTCCTGGTTTGACGACTGTTTCGTTCCCGACGTTAAGAAATTCTGCGAGCAACATAATGTTCCATTTAACATTTTGTTGCTCCTTGACAACGCACCAGGACACTCGCCCCTACTGTTGGATCATCACCCCAGTGTAAAAGTGGTCTTCCTTCCTCCCAACACTACGTCATTAATCCAGCCCATGGACCAGGAGTTGATATGCAACGTCAAGGCTGCATTCTCTGCAAAGAAGTTTAAGCTCCTGAACGACTACACCAACACCAAGGATGAGTTGCGTAACCTTCCGAGTGGCACAGATAGCGAGAGCGTCGAGGATCCAGAACAAGAGTTGGCGGAGCATGAAGTGCAAGTTAAACAGTTTTGGAAAAGTTTAATGTCAAGAAAGCTGTTGATTTCTTGGTGGAGGCATGGGGAGCAGCTGTCTGTGGCAATGATTCGTCACGCATGGCGGCATGTGTATGCAAGGTATACCAGGTGGGAGGCAGAGGCAACCTGTGACTGGTGAGGTTCAGTCTGTTGCAGTGGCAGTGGACCTTGCAAGAGAAGCTGCACAGATTGTTACAGCTGCAGGCTTCTCCGAGACCACCAATGACGACATCATGGAGGTAATCAGGGATCCTGAGGTGACTGTCGACGAGATGTTGGAAGACGATGACGTCAGTGAGGAGGCAGGTGGTGCAGCAGCAAGAGAACATAAGTTAACACATGGTGATGTAAAGGATGCCATCGAGTTTGTCGAGAAACTCAAGCTCATCCTTTCCAAAGACCCTCTCAATCACCGATATGAAGTCTTCAATAACCATCTAAACCAAAGTATGGAGCAGTACATCAAGATGTATCACGAACACATCAACGCTAGCCATCAGCGTAACATCACCGACTTCTTCGCCCGCAACCCACCACAGCCAGCCCAAGTCAGTGATAGTGACTTTGAGGGGTTTGTCAGGGAGGCCTTGATATCTGTGGTGGATACTGATAGTGATTCACCTAAGGGCCACTAATCTGCCCTCTGCCTCGGAACCAGCCCCCATCCCCGTACAGTGAGTTCTGCTATAACAAGTGTTTTGATAACGCGAATTTGCTCTAACACGATTTATGAATTCGGAACAATATTTGTATAACGCGAACGCCTGTTTGCTATAACGCGATTTTTGCTTACTATTTCTCCAATTTTGTGGTATTAACTGTGATTATGGTAAAGAAGAACATCTCCAAGAAGCGTTCTTGTGATAGAATTCCTGGTGATTATCGTAAAAGAAAGGATATAACACTTGAAAAGAAGCTCGATGTTATCAACCTCAAAATCACCCTTCTCCCCCATCACGTTACATTCATATTTTTTCAAGGTAAAGTGTTACATTTACTGTATGATTTCATTATTAGATATGAATGTAACATTTATTTAGACTGTGCTATCCTTTGTGTTAGGCTAACTCCTAAATTTTTTCGATTTCGAGTAATCTGCACCTAACCCTATTTTCTCCATAAGCCCTGTTATTTCTATTACGCGATTTTCTATAACACGATATTTTACAAGAACACAATTATCGCGTTATAGCAGAACTACCTGTATGCTGACCCATCTCTTCTACTAACGTAAGTGTTAAACCTTGATTTTTCTTTTACCTGGTACAGTATATTATTCTCTTAATGATATTTCTCTTTATTATGTTTGTGTGTGCATACCATCATAAAATTAAGATACTATTTTTACTACAACGTATGTAATGTGTCGGAAAAAGTGGAGTTTGAGGGTCGGCCCAGTCTCTATTTCAATTAATCCCATATGTTCTATTATTTCGTTTACGCGTTTCTCGTTTTACGCGGACCTCCACAGGTTTAATTGACCGCGTAAATGAAGACTATACTGTAGTCCAGTATATTGAGGGTTTATTGCGATTCCACCAGACTTCACTCCACGTGAACAGGACTAACTTCAAACTACTGTCATTACCTAAACCAGTTTCAGCCACCACATTTGAATACTGTAAACTCAAATAATTAACAATTTCATATCCACTCTGTTGATGTAAACACATACAACCTCTCAGAAAACAAGATAAAGAAACAAACTACAACTACAGAACACCACACTTATCCATGAACATTTACAATCATACTCTTAATTTTTCTTATTACAGTAGTACTATATACTGCCACAAAAACCTGAATCATCACACAGACACACAAATATGATCCCATTCACGTGAAAAAATTCAACCCACCTCCCTTATTTTTTTGGCCATGACACTGAAAAAGTTTATTTTGCACTTATAAAACTCAAGTTACCAAACAACTTTCTATGGAATGAGCATAAACACAAAAGTACAATACTATTTAACTGTACTGTACATACTGTACCATGTCGGTACTGTTGGGATAAACAGGTACTATACTTACATCTTCTATCCATTTAATATCCACGACTTTCTCCACCAGAAAAATATCTCCCGAGTCAGTTTCCTCCACCACCTTACTGCCACTTGCCATCTTTGCCAAAGTTCCTAGTGGTTTCATAAAATATAGAACAGATTAGTCCTGAAATTCCATTTTACAATTAAGGTAAGCTTAATCAACTTCACAGCCAAGAGGGCACTTATGGATTGAAACAAGTTACCAGATGTCAGTACACCAGTAATGTTACCAAACAATTTAAAGCTAAAACAATAACAAAATACATGAAGGTACAGTAAGAGAAGAGAGCGAGTTTCTATATTATTAACCACAGAAAGTTGTACTTTACTGTACTCTAAGTACGTATACTGTATTGTTTTATTGATCCATCAGTTTCAGATAGTCCAAGAGCTAATACAGTACTCTGAAAACACCAGCAATCAATCCTAAATCATATACTATACGTAATGTACTGTACCAGCGTACTGTATTGTGCAATCAAAATCGTAGGTAGTTTGGGTGGGTCATCTCTCCATAACTATTTATTTCTGCCAGAAATGAAGGTCAGATTCAGTAAAGATTTGGGAGAGGATGTAATCAGAGAAAAACAAATGTTTTTTCTCATATTTTTGATGGTGATTTAAAAGAATATGAACTTAGTTTTTTACACCAATGTATTTTTATGGATACATGACCCACTAGCAATGACGATGGTTGCACATAGTGGGCTGGGGTTTGAAGACGAGTGAAATTGTGGGGTAAAAATGTACATACAGTACTGCATACACATACACACACAAAAAGTCAAACCTTTGGTAACCTGACCAAACCTTTCTTAAGTTAAATTGGACCTTATTATAAAGTAGCTTACCTTATTTAACTGATAGAGGAGTGTAGTGGACGTCTCCCCTACAACTGCGTAGCCACAGCCACCACCTGCTACCGCCTTCCCTAGCAACCAACCAGATGTTACCGTATCTTAGCAACGGAACTAGTCACCGGCGACTTTCTGGGTTTTCCCAACATGATTCATAGAGGACTGGCGGCTGCTGATGGGTATATAAGCTCTGTCTCTCCATTGAGATTGATTCTGACCATTCTTCTTGAACAAGCAACACCTCCTCCTCCGCCGCTGCCTGGCTGCCTTCGCTTCTCCTCGCCTGCCTGGCGGTCCTCGCTCCCGCCAGCGAGCATGGCGACCCACCAGCTGTCCTTCTCTGAGCTTCCTCACCAACCAACTCTCATTCTGCCCATCTTCCTGAACAAGCAACACCTCCATTCTTCTTGAACAAGCAACACCTCCTCCTCCGCCGCTGCCTGGCTGCCTTCGCTTCTCCTCGCCTGCCTGGCGGTCCTCGCTCCCGCCAGCGAGCATGGCGACCCACCAGCTGTCCTTCTCTGAGCTTCCTCACCAACCAACTCTCATTCTGCCCATCTTCCTGAACAAGCAACACCTCCAGCACCAGACTGTCTATCATATAACTTATAATATACAAGAAAACCACATTAGAGTTTCCATCCATCCTGAGTGCTAGACAACATTAATATCTCGATACCCCTACAGGAGCATTTATAGATTCTCTTCTTTTTGTATGTGTTTGTACAAAACCAGGTAGGTAATTTATCTGCACAAGAGAGCAATCAGGGTGACCATGTTTAGTATTTTCATGCTAAATCTAGCACTTGTGGAGGTATTACTTTTTACTTTCACCTTTATCCTCTTCACCACTGATCGGCTCGTTAGCCGCTTAGGCGGACGGTCATGTCTCTATTACTCACTGTTGGCATGTACTGGGCATGAACTGGCTCCTGAATATATCGGAACCTGCTCCAGTGTTGGCCAAATCTGGCCTTGAAAGAGCTCACACTCGGTGCCGTCACAACACTCCCTAACATATCGTTCCAAGAGTTCATAACTCTCACTCCGAAAAAGTTTGTCCCCACTGTTTACTGGACATGTCGCTTCTTCATCCTTGAGCTGTGACCCCTTGTGGGATGGGAGTCCGCCAACTCCAGGTATGTACATTCGACCGAGTAGTGCCCTCTGCGATGTTTATCCACTTGGATTAGGTCGCCCCCTTGCCCACCTGTAGTAGGCAGTTGCAGACGCTCTAATCTCCGAGTAGCTGAGGTTCCGTAGAACAGGCACCAGTCTGGTGACCCTCCTTTGAACATTTTCCACATAGGAAATTTTTTCACCTTCAATCAGATTAAGTAGCACTGTACAGTACATGAATTTCATCCTTTATATATAGAATAGGTTCAAGAACCAAATGCATGAAAACCGAAAAAAAGGAATTTGCTCTGGCTATAAACACAAAACCCAGGAATATGAAGCCTATAAAATTTAAAACAAAAGATAATTGAGCCAATGTTTATTTTAAAGTTAACCAAGCCTGGAGAATGGACGAGTTGACGGTCGGATTTTTTTCGTAAGACGGCAGGTCAATGGGTAAAGAAAACGCTTAAATTCACTATGGTAATGATATTTTTAAATAAATTGGGCCAAAAAGTGTCAAATATAAGGGTTAAGGTTGCTAAAAAGTCACATGACTGCAAAAAGCTCTGTGATTGGTTGTGACGTCACTGGTTGGGGGCAAGCTTCCCAGTGGGAGGCAGCCAGCTGTAGTTGTCCAACCTTCTCGGCTTATTGGCTCAGTAAATAAATATTATTAAATAATTAATTGTGCTTTAGGGGGGGGCCAGTGGGTAGAACCATACCGCTCTTGCCTCGCAAGCGACATGTCACGGGTTCAATTCTCGGGCCGGTGGAAAGTTGTTCAGACACTTCCCAGCCTCCCTTGGTCCCTGTTCACCTAGCAGCAAAATAGGTACCTGCTGTAAATCGAAAGTTGCGAATCCATATTCAGGGACAAGTTGTTGGAGATTCCAATTACTTGCTTAGACATAAACCATTGACTCTTCAGGCTTCTACGCCCTTAACTCCTGAGACATAAAGGCAAGCATGAACATTGCATGCTTCCCTGTTGGGCACTGTAAATGCTTCTGAGCTTCACCTTACACAAGGATGTAAGGGGGTGCCCCCCCATCTGTCACCCCATCTGGTCCCCGAGATATGCTAGGGACTGTCAGCTGGTTGAAAATGTTCAAAGGAGGGCCACCAGACTGGTGCCTGCACTTCGGCACCTCAACTACCCTGAGAGATTGGAGCGCCTGAACTTGTCTACCTTATACTATAGACGGGCAAGGGGCGACCTAACTGAGATATATAAGCATCTCAAGGGGCACTACTCAGTCGAGTGTCCTTACTTGGAGCTGGCGGACACTTGCCCCACAAGGGGTCACAGCTCAAGATTGAAGAAGCCGCAGGTCCAGAAAACTGTGAGGGCAAACTTTTTCGGAGTGAGAGTTGTGAACTCTTGGAACAATCTGCCAGAGAGTGTTGTGACGACAACGAGTGTGAGCTCTTTCAAGACCAGACTTGACCAACACTGGAGCAGGTTCAGGTACATTCAGGAGCCGGTGCATGGCCAGTAATTGCCAACAGTGTGTCACAGAGACATGACCGATCGCCCAAGCAGCTAACGAGCCGATCAGTGGTGAAGAGGTTAAAAGTAAAAGAAATCTTTACAGTATCATCCAAACAACATCTGAAAATTTGGTGCAACTCCATAGTCCTTTTGGTGCTAACCGTCTGCTCCACCATTAACATTTCTTTGCATACAATGCACGTTGACATGAAATTAATGCCATATGATCATTTTTTCGCCCTTTTTTACTCTATAATACCTGTCAACTTCCATGCTCTGCCCACTATATGTGATTTATGATTGTACAGTACACAGAGGAAAAAAGAAGATAAAAGAAAAGTTGTTGTATCGCTTTTAAAGTTACTATCATCCAAACAACAAATGTGGTTAAATATGAAGAAGCCACCAGTCCAGAAAACTGTGAGGGCAAACTTTTTTGGAGTGAGAATTGTGAACTCTTGGAACAATCTGTCAGAGTATTGTGACGGTACTGTGTGTGAGCTCTTTCAAGAGCAGACTTGACCAGCAATGGATCAGGTTCAGATATATGCAGGAGCCAGTGCATGCCCAGTACTTGCCAACAGCATGCAACAGAGATGTGATCGATCGCCCAAGTGGCTAATGAGCTGATCAGTGGCTAAGAGGATATAAGTAAAAGTACATAAAAGTAATATAAACGCCGGTAAATGTTTAGTTTTGATCATCCCTGGAATTTTAGGAATTTAACCATTGGAATTAGCAGTTTAGACAATTCCTAGACAATTTTCTACTTTAGTATTTTCACGTGAAATTTATATTTTTCCTGTATTTTAATACTAAAAAATACAGAAAACTAAATTTTGAAAACCTGACCTAACATGTCCTAACTTTTAAAAATCCTCAAACTATTAAAGTTTACTTAGTTTTCATGTTTAGTAGAGATGGTGCTATTTTTGGTTTTCTGTGTGTTGGTGTTTTCGGTGTTCAGATAAAGTGGGATCCATAAAGCCTAAAGTGATTCTTAACATTTTTTACAAGGTAGGAAAGGTTAGGTAAGGTTTTTGAAAGTTTGTTTGGTGTTTATCCCACATCAATATTTGTTTAATGGCTGTGGCAATATTTTTTTAGGTTAGGTCAGGTCTGGTATGGTTAGGTTAGGTTTGATTTGGTTAACTTAGGTTAGGTTAGGTTTCAACAATGATTTGGAAGTTGTAATCGTGATGAGAATAGGCTGGGTTTTTTTTATATACAGTACAGTATTTAGGCATTTTATTCAAATCTGACCTTCGTTTCGGCATTTTTGCAGTAGTTCACACAACTTTCCTACCCCAAATGTATTATCATATTCGAAAAAGACATCTAATTTTAAGATAATTTTCTTCCATTACATAACCGTCACAAACGTATAATAACAGAGATAGCACATGCTAAATCTTTCTCTATTTTCTTCCATTAATCTTCTGCCATTATCCCCCTACCCGCCCTCCCACTCTGCGTGTTTCCTTCATAAATCATCATGCACATATGTTCCCGTATACATCACGCAGCCAATCAAAAGCATTTTTTTTGCCACCAATTAAAATGAATTGTGGTTTAATTCACGGTATTTTTTGCCCAATCAGATTCGAATGTGATCTTGGGTCTCATATTTTGAAATTCAAATTCATTTCCAACCATGGAAGTCTGCAATGGGTGTCACTTCAATTAAATGGAGTTGATTGTGCATTTTGGGTTAAAGAACCGAACAAGCTATAGCAATTTTTAGTTCTCATGGTGTTCTCCCGACCTCAGTAAAGTGTCCTAAGTGTAAGAACGAGTGTAGGGTAGGTTAGGCCAAGTTAGGTCATCCCCCAAAAAGGTTCGGTTTTTATGTTTTTCTAGAGTGTTTTGGTGTATTTTGCATTCGCTTGACCATGACTCAGAAAACGCCCCACCCAAAACCCGTGATAACTAAAAAAAAATAGGCAATTTCTGACGGAAATCAAGGTCAAAATCAATCAACACACACAAAAATACACTAGATGAGCATAGTTTTGACTTTTTAAGAGTTGTGTGAACTACTGCAAAAATTTTTTTTTCGCTAAATTGCCCCCAAAATGAGTTAAATTTCACTAAAACACACCTCAAAGCACACACACAAAAAACTATATGGCTAACATATATTAGTTGCCAAGACTTGCTTATGTAGAGTCTTATATAGGGAGAAAAAAAAATAATTTATTTTGTTTCCGTCCGAAAATTAAATTTTTCGAGTATTTTAACCGATACAATTACCCACAATATTAGTTTGTTTGGTGTTATTTTCAATGTTTTACCAGACATTTTCCCTTTACTTCATAGCCCTGCCCACTAAGAAATATTATTGATAATTTTAACGGTTAAAATACTTGAAAAATACTTATTTCCCGACAGAAAACCCGAAGAAAGGTGTCCTAGAATTGTCTAAACTACTGATTCCATAGTTAAGTTTCTAAGATTCCTTGGATGACCGAAACTAAATTAATACTTAAACGCCTTTGGTTGTTAACCGTCTCTACACCTACCAAATTGCCTGATTGTTTACTACTGTTGTATACCTACAAAGTCTATGTACACCTGTATTGCCTACACAGATGCTGAATTGTATACCTGCAGTCTACATACATGGCAAACCAAATGTAAACTTGTATGACGATTTTACTATAAAAAAAAAATTAAATGAGTTGTGGATCTCCCTATATGACTTGACAAGTTGACACAATTTATAATATGCCATACGTACTATACTTAACCCTCCTCGGTTCGGAGTCCTCGTCACCTGTCAACTGAGGAACCGTATTTATTAAAGTCCACTATTCTAATAATCTTGTTAAAATGATGTTTCAGGTTTTCAGTGGCAACTTGTAATAAAGACGTGAATATTATTACTGTTACAACTACCACTGTGTAACATATGACTAGTTGCCAGATACAAGACTAGAAACTGTAATAGTGCTGCTACCTAGTGGCGAGAAGCATTACTGTAAGATATTTTATCGACGAATAGCAAATAATTCATAAATAAAAGTAAAACCAAGGGAGTCTTACTTAATTATTGTGTACGTATAATGATAATACTATTTTTCTATTGTTCGACATTACAGTTTCATTCTCTGAGGCTTTATGTTTTTGACATAACAGCTACTACTCCTAAATCTTGCATCATAAATTCGGCAGACCAACCAAATTCATGACCACTTAGATTTCTTTACCCTATAAAAAAAAAGCCAGACATACGAGGAAACTTTTCATTAAATTTCAAAATCCGTGCAAAAAAAGGTACAGTACGAACTGAGAGTTCTATCTTTTCTATTTTTTTTCAATCATTGAATTACTAGTGTAGCTGTGTAGTAGGTAGTACCGCCTGGGAAGATATTGGAAACGTAGTGTTGTCTAATGGTAGACACTGCTGCCATATGGCATCATGAAAATTGTGACTAAAAAGTCCCAGGTTGGTGGTCTGTCTTTCTGCCTCATTTACACACAGTTGCAGGGTTTCAATTGTTTCTCTTTGACAACGCAACATGCATATGTCGTTTCTCACTATTGATCTTTTTTTAAATTTTGTATTTCTTTATGGTTCTTTATCATTATTATTAGCCTACTAGTGTTGTTATTATTATTATTGTTATTATAATTATTTTTTTATTATAAATTTGATTTACTATGAACTTATTATTATTATTATTGTTATTATTATTACATTTTCGCCCCCCAGGCCCCGATGTGGGTCAGTGACCTGTGCCCGAGTGGGCTAATCCTGTAAAAAAAAAATACTAACCTTGTTAGACGCAACCTCACTTGTTGAAGTGCAGTACATTAATACATTATAACGTCAACCTATTGTTGAGTATATAGATTAATAGTCATAGGTACCGCCAGTGGTGTTGAGTCAGAATGACATAGAAGCCATTTGATTGAGAACATTTGCACACAATTGCACAGTACAGCAGGGTCGGATTCAGGAGTGGGCAAAGTGGGCAGCTGCCCAGGGGCCTCCACAATCTGGGGCCTCCACATGTGCGGTAGTAGCTATATCAGGGCTGGTCGACTTGAAACCACATGAATGACTCCAGTCATGTCTCACTTTTGTGTGTGTGTGTGTGCGTTGGGAATTTGTACACTATCAATAAATATACAGTTAATTAAAAATTTCTCAATGTTCTAATTTCCTCAATATAACTGCATATGGCTTCAAAATTCTCCAAAGAAGTGTTCAAATTTCAAAATTATCCCGGGGGTCTTACAGCGCCCCCCGGAACTCCCAGATGTTTAGGCTCGCTTCACTCGCCACCCCATCCTCTTGGGTAGTTATAATGAGGGGGGCCCTCCACAAAGAGGCTGCCCATGGGCCTCCACAGGTCTAATAAATCCGGCACTGCAGTACCGTACTTGCTTAGCTTTATAAATTCCCCATTCGAATACATCCTTGATATATACATCAGATTCAAAGATTTTTCATTGTATTTATTCAGTGAACAGTTAACTTATTGGATAAATCTAATAAGTGAGCTCAATAGGCATAAGGCGTTTTTGGTTTACTATCCATTGCGTCTGCTATTGTGTTGGAAATATTAGAATGAAATTCCCTGGACTTTCTCTTGTAAGATTCGTGTGCCTAACAGAACATGTACATCCGCGAAATACTTTGATTAACAAAGTCAATATCTTACATCCTAACGGTCACATGCAACTTTTGAACATACACCAGGGAATCAGTGAAGCTCTTGTATATACTGCACTGTATATTGTAAGCTACTAGATGCTGTATGAAAATGTTTATACACATAAATTTATATTTTAGGAATACTAATTAAAATATTAACAAATGTTAATAAGGTAACTTTTGCATAAAAACATGAAAATTCGCACTTTAGGATTTCATTTGATGAAACACAGGTTTGGCTTCGTCAGGTGGCGGGAAAAATGTCCATACGTGGTTAATGTTAGTTGGTTCTCTACTTAACATTTTGTGGTGGTTCTCTCAACGTTTTCTTTCGGCAACTGTGATATAAGCTGTCAGCAGTACTCGTACTTTTACAATGAACACATGGATTGTATGAGGTAAGTAACATTTCTGAAACTTGATAACTTTAATAGTGAGGTTTGGAATGTATTTTCAGGGTTAGTCCCAAACCACTCTCACCATTTTCTTGTGCCCGATCATTTAGGTATAATTCGGCTATTCTACCCACTCTTCGGTAACTGGGCGTATGCTAGCCACTTGTTTTGATTAACCTCAAGTTGGGCTTGACCTCACGGTCTAACAATAAGTCTGCAGCCCCAGGAACGTGGAGTACATTATTTATTATGACAAATGATTAATCAGATGTGATATTCGTTTCACATTTACGATATTGAGAGAACTTACATATAAGACAAACCAAAGAAAAAATGAGCATTAATTGTACGAAATAGTGAATGTATGTTTCCGTGCATTTTAATTAAAAAAGGATGGCAGGCCTAAATTTATTCTCCAGTTATCTAGAAAGGGAGATGGCAGATGAAATTCAGATTCGCTACGTTTTTAGACGGTGAACAAAATAATAAAATAAAACGCTGGCAAAACTTTTTACGATAAAATTATATATATTATATATATATAATATATATATATATACATATATATATATATATATATATATATATATATATATATATATATATATATATATATATATATATATGCAAGTAAATGTATCTAGGTATATGCTGATATATACTATACTGATATATACTCACCCCTGAAGATGTGAATTACACGAAAGCGCTTGGGAACTTCGTGTTTCTTCTTTCCTTGTGGTTATCAGTATATATATATATATATATATATATATATATATATATATATATATATATATATATATATATATATATATATATATCCTGGATCACGCGTACCTACAGTGATTTATTTGCATATATATATATATATATATATATATATATATATATATATATATATATATATATATATATATATATATATATATATATATATATATATATATATATATTAAAGAACTTCAGCATGTGCCTAAAAAGTGCAGGTACTGTAATAACGATAGTGACCAAGGATATCCGATAAAGTTATCAGATGCTTATTTCCACTAGGGTCCTTTGCTTAGGCTTGGTTACTAATCAGTCATGGTATAGCTACAGTAGTAAAAGTGAAAGTGTTTCTTAATAAATAAATCAAGCATTGCATTGTGCTTGGACTATCCGAGGCTGACGGATCACTTGAACAGTACAACATTCTGTGGTTAAATACAGAAACTCACTCTTCTTTTGCTGTAAAACCATCTGTTATGTCTTTAAGTTTTAGCTTTGAACAGTTTCGTAACATTTCTGGTTGAACCTAGAAACTTGGGTCTCGATCATTGCCTGACACGTATTATCAGTGGGGTACCAATGAAATATACCCTGTACATATGTATAATGATAGTAAAATTTTGTTTAAACAGGACTATGCCTTAAAAAATATTTATGGTTTCATTCATATTACATGTAATAAAAATTACTGTACAGTATTACACATTATTAACTTTTACTTCTGTAAAACACTACAAGTAATTTTGGTGGTTTACTGTTACCCCTGTTAATTTACATTACTGATGCAGAAGGTATTCTGTGGCCATCACAATGTCATAAATTTAACAGTGTAGAGTGGAAGAGTGATAGTAGCTACTGATCATTAACACCCCTAACGGTGTTACTTGACCGCTAATAAAAGGTCACAGTACAGTTATGTCTAGACTTAAGGAGTTACGCACCATGGGCGCAGCTCATACACAGTTTGTATGTCCTGCAAAAGATGTATCCAGGGGCCTCATCCAAGCATTCAGTAACATTTCTTGCATTACATATCTGGCGGAAACCCTTAGTTAAGTAGAATTTAATTAATAAGTATCTTCACGACATAAGCGGTAATTGTAATTATGGTCAGCTGTATCATATGCCGTAGTGTTTAAAGAAGACAGTGAATGATGTGAAACCCATAAATGTGTACTATACAGGAGGGTATTGTTTCATGGAACTTTGGAACTGCCTGTATTAACCAGTTAGTAAGAATGGTTGCAAGTTGACAACAATCAAGTTTTAGGCAAAACTAATTCTTTCTACTTTGTTATATGTTTCCCACTTTAGTATAGTTACTATGTACAGTACAGTACTATTTATTGTGGAAAGAAATGAAAACACCTTTTATCACAATATTTAGACTTGAACAATAATTGATCACCAAACTTAACTTTGATAAAGATAAAAGCCATATAAATGTCCATGGTATAAAGGAACAATGATTCAAATAAATGTTATGTATTATACTGTGCGTGCAGTACGGAACGAACATTCCCAGATTTGACCAACACTGGAGCAAGGGTCAGATACATTCAGGAGCCAGTGCATGCCCAGTACTTGCCAACAGTGTGTAATAGAGACGTGACCGACCGCTCAAGCGGCTAACTAGCTAAGCAGTGGCGAAGATAAAAGTAAAAAGTAAAAAAGTGAACAGTACTCCAGTGAGCGATTCTTGTTTGGCTCTCTTGTTGTTAAACACTTCAAAACTACATTGCCAAGTGAGGTTTAAAATTTACATTTACTGTGCTAAAAAGGCAAGTGTTACGACCCTCCTTTCACCACTTACCCAGCTACACCACTGGTTACCAGTGGTGGCCAGTGTCGTATATACAGAAGCAGTAGATATCTCACAAGTCTCGTCGAATTACCACTGGCTGTCCCGCCGGTCTCCAGTAATTTCCTGACGATCGGTATCAGTGTACAGACAAACAGCAGGCAGGTAGATTTCCACCAGGTCACAGAAACACACTTGTGCACTGTACACAATTTTCAGCCTTCTGGCTGCGATGCTCTTTCAATAAACCGTTAATTATTATTATTATTATTATTTATTAGTCGTCTTTAATTATCACCTAATCTTCACAAAACTGTTCACAGGATAATGGTTTCACAGCTGAACTTCTCACTTCGAATATATAATCGGCACACTACCAGAGAACAATTCCTTAGTCTTTTCACTTTTTATTGATCCCAACAATTCCACAAAACTTGCACAACAATTATCTTCAGTTGTCCTACTAGGCTGGTACTTTGCACTCTGAGAAGAAACGATCGACTTTACTCAACTATTGGCATTGTAGTCATGAGTTATGAGGTGAAAAGGTTATTAGGGATTGAAGAAAAGAGGTGAAACTGACATACAGGAGTAGAAAGAATCTGGGCTCAACCAGATCGCTTCATCTTATATATTGTTTTTTATCTTTGTTTTGCTCCCTCGGGTCGTCAGACCTTTGTATTAGTATTGGTTTATTTATATGGTGCTGCTTATTATACTTCTTACTTCGTATTTTTTTTACTGTGGTGGAGTTAGTGAGGCCCCCCACCCCCAGGTCCTTGTGTGACTGAGAGGGTAGTCACTCTATTTTTATTTATTTTTTTCAACTAGGCAGCCAGCTGCCACTTATATACTTCATCAGCCGCCTCTCGAACATCCTAGCACCACCCAGAGATGACTGGGTGGTGCTAGAACGTTCTACTCTGATCGAGGCTTACAATAAGAAGTAAATCGTAACAAGAATGATGCAATACATTCTATAATAATCTTACATGAGTAAAACATCAATATGTACAAGAAAATCTCCCTAAATTTGGCAAAATAACTGCTGCTTGGGTCAGGAAGAAATCAAAACCGAGTTTACAAACATTATAACACCAAATTATGCCTCGGCATAACACAATGTTGAAACGAACGTGTAAACCAGAATATTTTAATAAGGAATTATTTTGCCAACTACATCATGTATATTAATGACCCAGTGAAACATAACTCATTATCCACGATGACAATGTTTCATAGGAAAAGGTAAAATATTATAATAGCGACCCTCATGTCAACACTCGGGTATCTGCTCGCCGTCATCCCATAATTTTCATTATAGCTTAGTGAAGGATATTTATTTGTGTAGTATTTTCGTATTATCCGAAAGGTGTAGAATAATTAGGCGTAAAATAGAGCAAATAAAAATTATGAAAAACGCAAAATTGCCGCGCTGAGGGTAATAATGGAATAAGTGTATAACCTCCCACCCCCCTTAAAATATTTTCCTACCAGACACCGTGCTGTGGTGTAGACTACATTTATTATAATTGGGTCTTGTTCTGACAATAGTGGATATGGCACATTAGCAATAACTGTACACGACAAAAAAGGTTTGTTTAAACAGTGAGTACAACCTTATACAGTACAATGCGGATACGACTTGGGCCTGCTCTCAAGATAGATACGGCAGGTGTGGCCTATATACACTTAGTATGTATCATACATACAGTAATTGTTGTGGTCTGTACACACACAAGTTAGTTGTCTACACGAGTGTGGCCTACATGGTTATTGTAGTTCTTACAGATGGGTTTCCTTTACGTGTAATCGTGTAATAGAAGTTAGGTTCAAAATAATACTTTAAAAATCTATTGCATGTCTAACAAATCTGCTTAGTCTAACAAATCTGCTGACGTTTTTTTAGGAAAGTCTTCGAGGTAGTAGATAATGACGAAAATTACGATGTTATTTACTTAGACTTTAGCAAAGCATTTGACAGAGGCTTCTGAGAAAAATTAAGGCTCATGGTATCGAGGGGAAAGTTTTAAATTGGATAAAATCATGGCTCACCGATAGAACGCAGAGGGTCAGCGTAGATGGTGTTAAATCTGAGTGGGGTCGTGTAACCAGTGGGGTTCCCCAGGGGTCAGTACTAGGCCCACTCTTGTTCATAATCTACATAAACGATCTAGATACTGGGATCAGCAGTGACATAAGCAAGTTTGCGGATGACACCAAAATAGGGCGGCAGATTAATTCAGGGCAGGATGCAAATGCATTACAGGAGGATCTAAATAAACTGCAGGGGTGGTCTGAAAAATGGCAAATGAAATTCAACACCAGCAAGTGCAGCGTACTTAATATTGGAAGAACAAATACTGCTAATGTATACAGCCTTAACAACATCAACCTAGAGAAGTCGACTTTTGAAAGAGACCTAGGGGTACTTATAAGCCCGGACCTACGGCCTAAAAAACAGTGCGTTAATGTTCGAAATAAGGCAAACAGAGTATTGGGTTTTATATCTAGAAATGAAAGTAATAAGAGTGCAGAGGTCTTATTGCAACTATATCTTGCGCTAGTCAGGCCGCACCTCGACTATGCGGTTCAGTTCTGGTTCCCTTATTATAGAATGGATATCAATTCATTCGAGTCGGTGCAGCGAAGAATGACGAAAATGATTCCGGGACTTAGAAACCTTCCATATCAGGATAGGTTAAAGATACTAAACTTGCATTCCCTAGAAAGACGAAGAGTGTGGGGAGATATGATAGAAGTATTCAAATGGGTGAAAGGAACCAATAAAGGTGATATAGATAAAGTTCTTATAATATCCGAGCAGAATAGGACTCGGAACAGCGGATTTAAGTTGGATAAGTTTAGGTTTAGGAGGGAGATAGGAAGGAACTGGTTTACAAATAGGGTGGTGGACGAGTGGAACAAGCTTAGCAACTTTGTAGTAAGTGCGGGAACGCTGGAAAGTTTCAAAAGGAGGCTAGATAGATTCATGGATGATAGAGTGGTAGTAACTCTCGACAGGAGCTGCCATGCACACTGCACAGGCCAACCGGCCTATTGCAGACTCCTTATTTTCTTATGTGCCAAGATAACGTAATGGATCATTGGAGTTACCGAAGAGGCATTATGCTCTCCTTGTATATGTACTTGGGGGCATCAGTCAGCGCGTCACCACCAATTTTTGACCATCATCATGATCACTCGAACGGATTCCCCTCAATATGCATCGGTGTATTCATAGTGAGATCCTTACACCTGACAAGAAAACCACTGCAGCTCGATGTTCATATTAATATTGGACCTTAGGTTGACAGGTCCCCATCATGACACTTGCGGGCGGAGTGTTGCCTTACGTATGTGGACAAATTATTTTTAGCTTGATTAGTTTTTCTTTTTTGAATTATGTAGAGGCAGTGCCAATATTATCACGTTGTGTGAAATACTTATTAAAGAACACATTTCAAGTCAGTGTAGCATATAATACAACGCTTGAAAGAACAGATTGTTTCTATAACAGCTTTTCGGATCAGTTTAGTATTCCTTTACTTATAATTTGATTTGTTCCCATACATATTTACACTCAACATAAATATACGGAATTGTGGTTAATGGATTGTGATATGAAGGTGTAGGCCCTGTAGGGAGTTAAGAGGCGACGGCAGTGGCCCTGGTGGTGGTCTTGATCTTCTCCCTGAGTTCGTTGTACTTGGTGTTGAGGCGGTCCACGTCGCGCCTCACGATGGTGCCCTCCTGCTCCCTCAGTTTTTTCTCGTCCTTGATCCTCTCCGACAGGGACGTCTTCACCACGTGCACAGCTTCGGCCAGCTTCTTCATCCCGGTCTGCGTCTCGTCTACGTCTTGGTTCAGACGGGCCTGTAGTGGTGAGGTGAGTGACTTAATTACACATAGCCACAGCTTCACAGCACATTATCTTCACTCATACCCACCATATACTCACTCATACCCACCATATACTCACTCATACCCATCATATACTCACTCATACCCACCATATACTCACTCATACCCACCATATACTCACTCATACCCACCATATACTCACTCATACCCACGATATACTCACTCATACCCACCATATACTCACTCATACCCACCATATACTCACTCATACCCACCATATACTCACTCATACCCACCATATACTCACTCATATACACTGTACACACACACACACACACACACACACATACATACTGTACATACACACATACATACTGTACATACACACATACACGCTTTAAACACACATGCACCCACGACATACCCTCACACACACTGTATACCCAAACCCACAACATAAAGTACAGTTGTACAGCCATTGCAGATCCCCACAAACGCTGAGGAATATATTTATACTCTGCTCTGCAGTGTAACTCACAGTCACACCATAACACTTACCAGGCTGGGCACCACAACACTCACCAGGCTGGGCCCCACAACACTCACCACCACAACACTACACCAGGCTTCACCAGGCTTCACCAGGCTGGGCACCCACAGGGGCACCCTGGGCTGGGCACCACAACACTCACCAGGCTGGGCCCCACACTCAGGCTGGGGCACTCACCAGGCTGGGCACCACAACCTTACCAGGTTGGGCACCACAACACTCACCAGGCTGGGCCCCACACTCACCAGGCTGGGCCCCCTCACCAGGCTGGGCACCAACACTCACCAGGCTGGGCCCCCAACACTCACCAGGCTGGGCACCCAACACAGGCTGGGTGCCACAACACTCTCACCAGGCTGGGCCCCACACTCACCAGGCTGGGCCACACACTCACCAGGCTGGGCCCCACACACTCACCAGGCTGGGCCCCACACACTCACCAGGCTGGGCACCACACACTCACCAGGCTGGGCACCACCACTCACCAGGCTGGGCCACCTCACCAGGCTGGGCCCCACTCACCAGGCTGGGCACACTGCCAGGCTGGGCCCCCACAACCACCTCACCCAGGCTGGGCACCTGGCACTCCCACAACACTCACCAGGCTGGGCACCACAACACTCACCAGGCTGGGCAGGCCACAACACTCACCAGGCTGGGCCCCACAACACTCACCAGGCTGGGCCCCACAACACTCACCAGGCTGGGCACCACAACACTCGCCAGGCTGGGCCCCACAACACTCACCAGGCTGGGCACCACAACACTCACCAGGCTGGGCACAGACGCCGCATTCTGCTCTTCTCTGCCAATAATACGGTCAATGTCTCCACGGAGTTCCTTGACGCCGTCCACCCTCTCTTTCCTCTCCTGATCCACCTTCTTGTTCAACTTAGTCTCCAGTTCATTCAGGTCGTCCTTCAGGTTGGCTACGCTCTTCGGGGTGTCCTGTAAGAGTACTGAGTGGTAAGGCTCACACGGTCATGGTGTGTTGTTAGGTGTCATGGTCCTTATTTCGAGATGAGGTATTTATTACGTGGTGTTTGTTCTTCAACTTGTTAACTTATGTGTGCTAAGTTTTCTCTCTTGTATGCGTTACTTCATGTATATTATTAGATCTCTTACCTGCACTTTATTCTGCAGTGAGTCGACTTGTTTCTTGAGGCGCTCTTGGCTGAAGATGACCGAGTCGATCTTCTGTTGCATTTTGTCACCCATGATGGAGTTGGCCTCCTGGTCCTCAGCCTTGGACTGTTAGCGAGGGTATATATTGTAGCTCAATATAAGGTATTAATAATATCAACGCAGCTATTTCAGGTACAGTTACCTCTATGTGTTGTCCTGATTTATCCCAACTATCAAGAAATAAACATTTACAAATTGTGATTTTTTTTGGTACTCACAGCTTGAAGCTTGTTATCAAGACGATCGTCTTGTTGCTTTATCTTGGTTTCGACTTCACCGAGGCGGTTCTCCATGCGACCCATGTCCTTGGCCAATTGTTCGCGAATACCATCAGCATTATCAGCCTGCATCCGCTGTATCTGTTGGTGGAAGAACAGTTCACGACCAAAGTCATTGATAGTTCTGCGGATTGGATGCCAATATGATTGTATTAAATGATAATCAAGTTGACAGATATTTCCGTTTTGTCTATTGATGGGCAGTAATCGATATTAGAACGTCTTTAAAGATGTCATATCTCTGTTGGAGTAAGCATTATTTAGCAGACAATCGTAAAAAAAATGCAAGAAGAGCGAGATATTTTATGGATATATAAAACCCGAGAAAATAGTATAAAGCAAATGAAAAGAACTAGTGAGACCCTCAGGACCAGGTCCGGCCATGCAATGTTTCACCTGAAGGAAACTGATAGACAATTGAACAAGATCCCGTGAAGAATGAGGGACAAAAACTCCTGACAACTGAGTCAAATATACCTAACTTAACTCGACTTAATCAGACAATAAAATCTAAAGTTAGGTTAGGTTAGGTTGGTTTTATGTCTTGTGAGGTAACTGTCAGACCTACCTGGGCTTGATATTGGCTTGTCTTTTTAAGTAAATGAACTCAACAAAAAGATAAAACATCACTTAGTGGTTCTACCCTGAGCAACACCTCACCCAGTGGTTCTACACTGGGTGGCACCTCACCTACTGGTTCTCCCCTGGGCGGCACCTCACCTACTGGTTCTACCTTGGGTGGCACCTCACCTAGTGGTTCTCCCCTGGGCGGCACCTCACCTAGTGGTTCTCCCCTGGGCGGCGCCTCACCTACTGATTCTCCCCTGGGCGGCAGCTCACCTACTGGTTCTACCCTGGGCGGCAGCTCACCTACTGGTTCTACCCTGGGCGGCGCCTCACCTAGTGTTTCTCCCCTGGGCGGCACCTCACCTACTCATTCTACCCTGGGCGGCACCTCACCTAGTGATTCTCCCCTGGGCGGCACCTCACCATGGTTCTACCCTGGGTGGCGCCTCACCTACTGGTCCACACGTTGACACTGAAGTTTTGGATGAGTAATCATTATCGACTGTATGCAACATGTGTGTCTTAAATATTGTTCATACTGGGTACAATTACTCATCATGATAGTCTTATTGGCTTTTGTGTGTCATTTTGGGTCAGAAAGGTGAAGATCAAGGTCATAGCTTTAAAACGAGTGAGTTGCCATCTTACTCAAATGCAGTCTAAATTTAAGTGCCACTATTTTGCTCTTGTTAATATTAGCGTTCATTTACTTGAAACATTATTTTTTACAAAACCCCTTTTAATATTTTGTAATATTCTGACCTTTAACCAATCAATACGGTATTACGTTCTTGCGATAGCATTTGTGTATCTCATTCTCATCTGGTTTTTGTATTTATTTCACTAAGGACTATATCCTTTTTAATTATAACTACGGCACAGTAATAACCCCGGAGGTCACTACAACTCTTTTCTCGTCTCTACCCTATCTGTGACTCACTCAATAATTTATCCTCGTTTGTACAGTACTAAACTGTGCCTCCATATCCACACTTCACTAGAAACACCTTTGTCGTCTTCCTCTCTACATAGTTAACTCAAACAGTGGTCTATATCTTGACAATTAAATATAAATGCCAGAAAAGCATATAAAAAATGGTAACTCCATAAAGCAGTAAAAAAACAGCTGATAGCTCTTCCCGGGTGTTGTAATGGCTGGGAGTATGTATTAGTGAGGGAGAGCAGCGGTGTGTCTTGACTCACCAGTATCTGGCCATCACCATAGCGGCACACGTGCTGTGCTTTTTGAAGATTAGCAGGGTCATTACCTAATACCTGACCATTGTGGACTTGATCTCACCCTCCTCTGTATATATACACCTTGTTTTGTACTTCTCCTTCGTCTATACTCACCCCTGAAGATGTGAATTACACGAAAGCGCTTGGGAATTTCTTGTTTTCTTCTTTCCTTGTGGTTATCAGCATATACCTGGATCACGCGCACCCACAGTG